ACTGTTTAGGCTCACTTTCCTTGCTCGTATTGATGGTTAGGTGTTTGCTGGCTTTTCCAGACAGTTTGAATAGGCCCTCCTTGACGGATAACCATAAATCATATTCAACCATCAGATTCTCAGTGTGCATGCTAACAATGAGTGAGCTTGTCTGTTTCAAATTTACTCACCTCTCAGCTTCTTCCTTTTACCCATTTGCAAAGATTGATCTATCCAAATTTGGCAGATTTGGCAATTTCACTCCCACCCCCCGCAACCTGGTTTTCAGTCAGTTTCATTTTGTCTCATTTTTCTCACTCCTGAAGTTTAATTGCCCCCCCCCCTATTTCCGTAACGGTCTGAGCAAGTTGTTTCCAAGTTCACACTCACACCTTTGTATCCACTTCTGAGCAGGTTTCCCCCAATGTGCACACTTGTGAGCAATTCCTGCAATAACACAGAGGTCCCCAGCCCCCGGTCTGTGGACTGGCATCGGACTGTGGCATGCCAGAAATCAGGCCAGGCACACAAGCAAAGCCCCATCCGTGGGATGCAGGCAGCATGTGAAACCATGCCCACTCTGGTCCATGGAACCGGTCCCTGGTGCCCATAAGATTGTGGGCTGCAGGCATAACATATACATTTTTTTGCACAAACCTTCTTTGAATGGAATGCATTTTGTACATGACTTCTATGAACGTATGATTTTTATATATGTATATGTGTATGTGTGTGCCCAATGAAGTCTTCCCGCTCAAATCAATCCCCCTTACCTGTCTCCGTCTTCTGAATTTCTCAAAAGCAGCCTGCATCGTCTCCCTTTCCGACCTCTGAAGCTTCTCTGCATCATCTTCCTCTTCAAAATACACAGTAAAAGCACAGAAATTTCTTTTCTTCTCCTTTTCCATGCTGCTTCCAAACAGTTCTCTGCAAAAAATAATAATAATAATAATAACAATCAACATTCACAGGCTGGAAACACCACAATTCTTTAATCCCAAACAGTTTAGATCCAGGTTATTTTTTTAAAAAAAACTTGACAATCTCACTGCATTATTTTAAAAATAATGCTTGCACGGCGGCTGTAGGCCAGATCAATTTGAAGTATGCAAGATTCTAGCCCTTCTTAGTGATGGCCCCAAAGCAGCTTGTTGTGAATCATCGAAAGAGAAAGGAAGAAAGAGAAAGAGAGAGAGAGAGAGAGAGAGAGAGAGGGAGAGAGAGAGAGGTTGAGGTGGGGTATGTGTGGGAAGGAACAGCAATAGTTTAGGGGGCTAAAATGGCTTTGGGATCAGGACAAAGCGTCACTGCTTAAGTTAGTGGAATAAACTATTTCTGCACCCCCCTTTTTTTTTAAGGAGGAAAAAATATACTTAAACCGGTTTGGGCTTCATTATACAGATAATTAAAATTTCACTCAGTTGAACACAAGACCAATAAACTAGTTTATTAAAATACCTGGAAAATGGTCATGGTGTATTCTCCAGAGATCTTAATGGCATTTTGAAAAGCCTAAACCACGTCACCAGGCACAAATATTATGCATTAAAAATGTGGGTCAGGCAGATTTGGGGGAAAGGGACTTTAGTTTAGATGACTTTGGGCCCTTTCAAATCCCAAGCCAATAATTTCTGTGAAGTTTGGCTTTTGTTATTTCAAACTTTCTCCCGCCCTGTTACTAATTCGCAGAGCATAAAACTCAATAAGGCCCATAAAACAGCACATTAAGGAAATCTGGCTCTTTGCAATTTAATATATATATTTTGAGAGAGATTTTGTTCCTTGCTGCAACACTGAACATCGTTTAGCCTGTACAAAATTTTGAACCAGTCAGCCACCACTGAATTCCAAATTTCAGAGTTGTTTGCAGTAGTTGCGAGTCTGGAGACCTGGGTTCAAGGAGGCTTTGGACCAGTCACTGTCCTGCCATCCGTGCAACTTTGCAGGAGTGTTGTGAGGATAATATCAAAAATGGGCTCCACATCACAACCTCGAACACCTAAAGATAAAGGCAGGATCTATGCTTAATACGTCCATACATTTATTTACATGCAGGTGGTCCTTAGCTTACGACAACTGGGACGAGAATTTCCTTGGCTAAGCAAGGAAGTTGTTGTGAGTTTCACCCAAATTTGTGACTTTATTTACCAAGGTTGTTAAGCAAATCACTGCAGTTGTTAAGTGAATCTGGCTTCCCCCACTGATTTTACCTGTCAGAAGCTGGTTGGCAAATCATCAGAGACAAGGTTACATTCTTGTTTTTAATCTGTAGGGTTGAAATCTCTGTAGCCTAGCAAGAAATACACATGTTTTCTGGCTGGGGGGGGGGGTTACATTGCTGCTAGTTTTATTTAATGGGGGTCAGCCTCCCACCTAACACTGCACTGGGACATTAAATACATACCGGTTGCCAAGTGCCTAAATTTTGAGCACATACCAGTAGAGATGCTGCAATGGATGTAAATGAGAAGGCTGGTCATAAATGGTTTTTTTTCAATGCCGTTGTAAGGTCGAACAATCGCTAAATGAATGATAAGAAGGCGAGGACTAGGGTATCTGGAATATACATTGGTCCAGTGAGCAAGCAAGAACTGAAAGAGAGGGAGGAGCCTAAGATCTTATAGGAGGAGCCAAAACAAAATGGGCAAGGCCACCACATCAGGGCAGAGTCCCGTTTTCCTGGCCTTTTCCTTCCAACACGATAAACCGAGTCTGTCTGAAAGGCATCCTTAGGGGGTTTTGTGAACAAGCTTTCGACTTCAAAGTAACCAAGTTGGGGAGAAAGGCCTGGTGGCTGTGAAGAAGTCACTGGAAGTAGAAACTCAAGCCTGCGAGGGTGGTGGTCCCTCTCCCCCAAAAGTGCTATATTCTAATGACGTGTCAGGTGGGAGACTGACCCCCATTAAATGAGATCTAACAGCAATGTAACCCCCCCCAGCCAGAAAACATATGATTTTTTTTGCTAGGCTACAGAGATTTCAACTGTACAGATTAAGAACAAGAGTGTAACCTTGTCTCTGATGGCACCAGCTGTTTGATTCCAGCTGGCAACATAAGTTTTCCAGGAGGCTGCGTGGGTATCTCTGCTTCAAAAAATAGAAACTCTCTATTATAATCTACGGATTATACAAAGCCTCTGCATGAAAGAGGTCTTAATTTTCAAGTGGACATCTGGTGGAGGCTGTGGAGGCCCTGGGCCTTTGAGTGTTCCGCACAGACTCCAGCTTCTGCTCCCTTTGGGTCCAAAACCCTGAAAATATCTGAGGTTGCAAAGAAAAGCAATAGGCTAAAAGACATATATCAACAGAGGTGTTGTTTTTGTGCTTTGTGTTATGGGAATAATGGCTAAAAATAAGAATTACCTTATTCTAATCTCTGGGGTGCCTTCCTATCTCTCCTTCTCCAGTAGAAACAAACGGATCGAATCAACGCTGCCTTGACAGACCAAAGAGAGACCTGGGAATTTTGCATCACGATGCTCCGTTGGACTAATCTTTTAAATATTTTGCATTCGGAGGGTAGCTAAAGGCACATGAGCTGGATGAGGTTTGCCCACCCAAAATTCAATCGTCGTGGAAAACATTTGGGTGGAGAACAGTCCCTTTGACGGTTTTTAAATTTCACGCTCTCCTCTTTGTAATTGCGGCAAACATCTTGAGGATTTCAACACCACTCCGATGTTATGGAAGGCTACAAGGCAAACAAGGTGGGTCAAAAAAGTCGAGCCGTAATCCCCGGAGGAAAGTTCTCCCCTTTTAGCTGTGACACCACAAAAAAAAAAGAGATCATGCAGCCTGGCTACCATCTTTTTTTTTTTTTTTTTTTGCCTTCCCTCCAGAAGAACACAGGGCCTATTTGGTTGCGGCACCCTTGTTTACAAAATCTTAGAAGCTGGCCAACTCTTGTCCATGGCCTACATAGGTATTGCTTAGATAAACATTTGCAGGAAAACATTGCCATATGAATCTTATGACCCCCCAAATTTTTGCCTATCTAATTTTATTCTTACCTGTTCATATGTTTGGTTTTGCGGGGTCCCCGTTTGGTATCAGCTTCATTCTGGTCCCCACCAATTTTGTGTGTGTGTGTGTGTGTGTGTGTATGTGTGTGTATTTTAAAGTATTTACAGCCCAGTAGTTTGCAGTTCTTCCTTTTAGGCCATAATTAAATGCATAAATCAGGAGTATCCAAACTTGACCACTTTTAAGACCTGTGGATTTCAATTCCCAGAATACCCTGGGCAGCCATGCTGAAATCCACAGGCCTCAAAGTAGCCAAAGTTGGACACCCCTAAATTTATGCATTTAATTATAGCTGAAAAGGAAGAAATGCAAACCACTGAGCTCTAACTCCCCTTAAAAAAATAAAAAATAAAAATTGTGGGGGGGGGGGAAACCAGAGTAAAATCATTCTCTGGTTTCTGGTGAGGAAATTGTTGCCGTTTTGGAGGGGAAAAAAATGAAAATATAGTTGCCAGCTAAACCATTACAGCCTATTAGACGCCCTTATTCTTCTTTGGCAGAATCCATATCGCCTCCTTACCTGACACAATTTGGGGGAATTATGGCCCAGAATTGAAGTTGCCTCATGTCTAGGACGGTGATTACATGTATATTATTCCTTGCCCACTTTGGGGAGATGTTTACACAAGAGCTTTTAAATTATATTGTGATTTAAACCTGAAGTGAATTTATCCCCCCCCCACACACACACACAATATCCCACCTTTCTCTCACCTGAACCCTTTGCCTCAACTAGGGGCGTCTCGTCTCCTAGCAACCTCAAGATGGCCTCCCCGCCCGGGCGGATCTCTGGTTCTTGTAGTCTCCGCGGCCGAGTCCTCTCAGCATGGCGTCCCAGCTCCGAACTACATTTCCCGAGAGGCGCCGCGGGGGAACGAGGGAAGCGGGCCAGGCGGGACGGCGTCCACCTGGGCGAGGTAAGACGCGCGCCGCGGGGGTCGACGGGAAGGGTAGTTTCCCGCCCGATGCGCGGGCGGGCCGCGGAAGGGCCGGCGGGACTACAGTTCCCAGGGAGGAGCGGGCGGACGCGAGGTAGGGCCGCGGTTTCTGGGCGGGGGGTACGAACGAGAGCCGGTCGCGCGGTCGGCGGCCGCCGCCAACGGCTGCTCCTGCGCCCGCGCGCTCAGGTGAGGCCGCGAGGGGGCGCGGTGGGCGGGGCTAGCGGCGGCCCCGCCCTTTGGGGGGGCGATCGCGGGCAGCGGAGCGGGCGATCTCGGGTCGGAGTGGCTTATGGGGACAGGGGTCCGGCTCTGGCCTTGGGGACCCCGGGAGGGTCCGCGGGGAGGGGGTGGAAGGTCAGTTCCGCCTGCAGGGCGCGGGATTACAGCACCCAGCATCCCCTGCCGCCCTCCCAGGGTGTGGGGTCTCCTGGTCCCCAAAAGCAGACATGCAGAAGTGCACCGATCGTGCCTGCATCCCTATGCAAGGCTTTGCAGGTGCCTAGGAGCGTAGAGTACCCATGCTCCCCTGCCTGCTTGGCCAGTATAAAATCCAGCACCCATCGCCCCCTGCCCGCCTTTCCCAATGCCCTGCCCTCCAGTGGCAACACCGTGCCCACTCTCTCCTTCTAGCAGGTCTTTAATAATAATAATAATAATAGTAATAATAATAATAATAATAGTAATACCATCAAACATCCACATCTGCCTATCCTAGGTCCTGGGTAAGGACTTGATAGGTAGACAAAATGCCAAATCCAGTCTGAACATCTGGCTGACTGTGCGATGATCCATAATAATAGTAGTAAAGTTGAAAGGGACCTTGGTGGCCATCTAGTCCAACCCCTGCTCAGGCAGGAAACCCTATACCATTTCGGACAAAGGGCTGTCCAGTCTTGGTGCAATGCTCTCCAGATCTGGGGGAAATGCAATACCTATCATCCCCCACCAGCTTGACCTACCCTGTTCTTTTCTTGGGGAGGTGAGGCCACTCTGCCCATCATCCCCAATCAGCATGGTCTGGGCCACCCACCCTCCTCTGCTTTCCCAATCAGGCCCAACCAGAAGTACATTTCCCATCGCTCCCGGCCATGCTGGCCCAGCAGTTGCTGTTCACACGTGTTCATATTGGGAACTCAGCTCTTCTGCTCTGTTGTCTTTTAAAAAGCCTTGGCACTTTTTAATTTGGAGGCTGCCTTTGGAGACATCCTTCTGGCCTCCAGTTTTTAGTTCCTTTTTATAGGGGGGGGGGGTGGAGGAGGCCAGGGCTGGGGATCCCCCCTTCTCACAGCCATCTGGAGCCATTGGAGTTGCTCTAAAACCTGGTTTGGGCTAGAAAAAAGCAGAAACCGGAAGTTGCCACTGGAGAATGACTGGCCCTTTACAGCCGGTAGAGAAAGGAACTTGCTAATCAGGTGCAAGAAACAGATGGAAAATCCCCCCCAAATACAACGGGCATCCTAAGTGTGGAAAGTTACACTTCCTTTTACATGTTTGGTCAAAGGCCACCTCAAAGGAGATATCACCAGTCTTCCTGTAAGTTTAGCATGGTGGCTTCTTAAACTGCTTTTGTCTTCTAAGGAAGCAAGCAAGCAATGCTTTTTCTGTTGTGGGTGTGTATAAGGCTGGCTGAGTCTGCTGGAGGAACAGTATCCCCATTGATTTCACTTTTGGGGAGCAAAAATCTGTAGGTAAGTCAGGGTTTTGGCTTCTTCCTCCTTCTCCTTCCCTGCCTTCATGAGAACTAGGAACCAGAAGGAGCAAACGTGCTGTTCAGGACACAGGATTTCGAGGTAGCTGGTCACAACTTTGCTGGGGGGGGGGGGAATTGTCTTTAGTGTGACATTTCTAATTGTCAAAAAGGAGCGGTTACGTATCCTTTAGTACACCAAGTGAAAATCAAACCCTATTATTATTATTATTTTTTAAAAAAGACTTTCCAATTGCCTGCTAAAATGCTATGTTTCAGTCCCCTTTAGAATCTCTGCCTAAAATGGATTTTTCCTTTAGAGAACGAAGTTCCTGAATTGGTCAAAAGAATGCTGCTTGGTATCGTCAAGAGTGGAAAAACTGTTTGTGCAGTTAGCAAACTGCAGCCCGAAGGAAACATTTCTGTGGCAAGGGTCTTTCTCCATCTCTTGGCGAAATCCTCTAATTTAATTGAAGCGCGTGCGGCCTTTTTTGTATTTCCCGAGGGCGAAAAACAGCACAATTCTCGGCGTCCTTTGAACTCATTCCTGTAACGAACTTCAAGGAAGGCGATGAGTAAAAAATCTGGGCAGGGCAACCAGCTTTGCCGGTTCTGGAAGTCTAGCCAAAGTTTGTAAGGGAAAGGACATCTCCAACCATCCCCCTATTCCAGTGTTTCCCAAACTTTCCCAAGCATTGCTGGCTGTGGAATTCTGGGAGTTGAAGTCCTCATGCCTTAAAATTGTCAAGTTTGGGAAACACTGCCCTATTCTAACAGTCGGTGGAAGCTTCCAAGCTTCCGATAGCTATTTCGCCTCTTGAGATTTTTTATTTTATTTTTAATAAATGGAGCTATTTTATCACCCCGTGGGTGATAAGAGTAATTTCCTAGGAAGGCCCCCCATGCCGGGGTAGATCGTCACCGATTAACGTGCTCTGCTATCTAGCAGTTTGGCAAAGCAGGGAGGATCGGTGAGCTGTAGTTGTTGCAAACTTTTGCAAACTGTCCAATTGATTGCATGATCCCATCTGGTCCTCGGCATTAAGGAAGGAAGAACAGCTGTGGCCGAGAGGGGGGATTACCTGTGACAACTTTGGCTAGAAAAATAGAAGGATTGAGGAACAGGTTGGTTTTTGTGCCTTTTTAAGATTCAGAATTGGAAAAAGCTGCGGAATGAAGCTTCCGGGCCCCGCTTTCCTTCTGGGCTGGGGTGCTAGCGACCCTCCGTTTATATTGCAAATTAAATTTATATCCAATTAGTTGATCATTCTTTTCCTTAATTCATTCCCTCGCCCTCGGGTTTTGTGATGTGCGATGATGGGGCTGTCAAAGGCGTTTTTGCCATGGATTTTGAAGCAGAGGCTTTGATTGCGGGATGAAAAGCTTTCCTTGACTGTTTGGTCAAAAAACTAACATGTGTGTCCCCTTGTATGGGGAGGAAGAGATGAAGGATGGGCCCACCTCATTCATGGGGCTGCAAGCTTTGGAGTGGGAAGAGAGACTCAGAGAACGTGCAGAAGGCAACAGAGGAAGGAAGTGAAGGATGGAACAGGAATTCCAGCGTGTGTCAAAAAGGCTTTAGAGACACTCCAATCTCCAGTCTGGCTTTGGTGGTGTGCATTTCACACACACACACACACACAGTAGCATAGAGTGAAGAACAAGGGGGGGGGTGTCCTGCACAAATAGTTATACTCCTTCTCTGTCCTACACCAGTACAGCTGGTCCTGTGCCACGCCTAGCAAAGATCTCCCAACCAGAGTTTTGAAGCGCCTGGTTGTCTGAACCAACCCAAACAGGGATGGAGAACCTGACTCAGGTCTGGATCCTTGGAAGGTTTTGGTTCCTGCTCCAGCATGTTTCGAAAAGCTATTTTTTTTTTCCTCTCCGCCACCACGTCTGCCAGCTTTTTTAATTGACAAGCGTTCAAAAGCCATTCTTTGCCTGAGAATCCCCATTAATAACCTGCTTTGATCGCCTTGCCTCTTTAATCAGCTTAACTATTAAAGTATTAGAAATCTTTACACCCGCCTGCATGCAGCTCGGCTGAGTAGCTGCGCCAGAGAATGTAAGCGCAACGGGTGGGTTTCACTGTGTGTGTGTGGGGGGGGTTAGTGCAGAGGCAGCTTTTGTGCCAGGAGCTGTGGGTCCTTTATGGAAACTCGGCTGGAATAATTTTCCCATTTTCGTTGCCAATTCAATTGGTTCTTGCGGGGATTAAAAAGAGAAAAGGATCGATGCGAACGGTCTAATTTATAAATTTATACATTAAGATGGCTATTTGGGACCCAAACTGTGTTCTCTTTCCATCTCTCTGCATACTGTATCTCCTGAAACTGACTAGCGGCAAGCGAGACACCAGCCACAGCTTTGTTAAAACCTTGTGTTCAGCCTCAATAGGGCAGAATACAGAATAACAGCTGGAAGGGATCTTGGAGGTCTTCTAGTCCAACCCCCTGCTCCGGCGGGAGACCCTATCTCAGTCTTCAAGAGCCTGAGAAGTTGGCAGGTGGGAACAAAATAGCAGGAAAGAAACGGGCTGGTTTTTAGATCACCTTGTGGCATGCTTTCCCCTTGCTGTCTTTTAGAAGCAGGTGTCTTTTCAGTGCAATTTATATCCGTATCCTGTCTCCCTGCTAAACTGTGATCCTCAAAGTGCTCAACTTACAACCGTTCATTTAGCGATCATTCAAAGTTACAGCAACATTGGAAAAAAAATTACCGTCTTTCGCACTTAGAACCGTTGCGGCCTCCCCTTGGTCACGTGATCAAAATCTGGGTGCTTGGCAACCGGCTCATATTTATGACCGTCGCAGTCCTGTAATCTCCTTTTGCGACCGTCTGACAAGCCAAGCCGATGGGGGAAGCCGGGTTCACGTCACAATCGTGTGGCTAACTTAACCGCTGCAATGTGTTTCACTTAACAACCAGCAGGGAAGGTCGTGAAACGGGGCAAAAGCTCGCTTGACAAAGTTAGCAGTGGGAATCTTGGAGGCTCGGTTGTGGCCGTAAGCAGGTTTTTGTTGAAACCTGACGTCGGGTTCCAGAAAGCCGCCAAGGGAAGCTGACCAGGACGAGAGCAGCTTTCGCACCCTTCCCCTCGTGTGATAAGCAGGAGGGTCTTTGATTGAAGGCTTCAGATTCAGCCCAGCGCTGAGCAGGCAGCAGTTCTGCCAGGCGAGCCCAGCTCCTGGAAGGCGAGAGAAATATAGGCTAAGCCGGGGATAAAAACATCAGCAATTCAATCTTGAAATGAGACAGATCAATTCAGGCCCTAAAGGCAGATAAATGCCAGCCCAGCAGCCAAAGAGCAAAATGTTCGGAGCCTCTTTACAAATTTGTGGCAGCCAAGAAAAATCTCCCCATAAATATTCTTGCCTGGTTGATAAGGACACAGCTGGAAGAAGCGGGTCGGGTGGGGATGCGACCCGTCTCACTAGCTCCGTTCCGTCTAGGAAGGGCTCCAGTTTTTCTTCTTTTCCAAATTAGAGGGAGGATAAATCCTTATCGGTAATTTTTATCCATCTATCGAGTCTTTCCCCAAGGACCTGGGCATACACAGATGTGGTTGTTTGATGGGGTTAAAATGTTTCATCGCAAGATGTCAGCTGTTCCCAGCCAAAGCTGCCTTTTGTAATTGACTGAAGCGGATTTTGTCAATGCCGCTCCAAGCAAAGCTGCCTTTCGTAATTGACTGATGGGGATTGTCAATGCTGGTGGCATTTAAGGGTAATAGCAAAACTTATCTGTCCCAATTAACGGAGCTGCCAAAGTTCAAATATTGGGGGTCATTCAACCCTCTTATTTCATTCTCTTGCCTGTTTGTCTTTCATAGACCCTTAAACTCTTCTAATTTGATTCTGTTTTTGTTGGCTTTCTAAAGCAAGGCTACTTAATTTTGACCCAGGTCTCTGCAGCAAGGGGGGGAGCTGATAAAGCATACCTAGGCTCTACTTAGCTTGAATTTGCCCCTTCCAAAAACCAGCCTGTCTGCCAGATGTTGGCTGTTGAACCCTAGAAAAAAGATACTCGCCTATTTAAACCGACATGTCATGATCGGATGTAAGTCTCATCTGAGCTAGTAGCCCCTGTCCTCTAAGCCTAGGAATGAGTTAAAAACAAACAAACACTAAGGCAATTGGTTGCATCAAGGACCCTTTTCTTATAGGAAAGAAATGGTTCTCCAGCAGGCTTGTAGAATAAAATTTTGTCTGCCTCTCAAAAATGGGAAGCCTTACCAGTCCTCAACTTTGACAAGCCACAAAGCTTTGATGTGAGAAAGGAAATAGTGTTATTTCCTATCAGTTTTTTCTTCTCTTTTAATATGTCCGCTTGGTTCTTGATGCGATAAATTCCCAGGAATAAACAACTAAGCTCAGTTTGGGTTAAAATGACGCATGTGAAAAGCTTTTATTCCTTCTCGGTGCTTTGCAAGCTGTATTTAGCATTGTTGTTGTTTTTTTTGTTTGTTTGGAGATTAAAAAGATACTTCATTTTCTAAGGATGAGAGAGGAAGGATATCCAATTATCCCTTGAAAAAGGCACATCTTTTTTCCAATTTGGGCTTATCAAAAAGCCAATTTGTTCTGTGTACTTCATTGGATTCCTTTTAGGGTTTTTTCCTTTTTTTTTTTTTTTAGCTGCCCGCCCTCCTCCCTTTTAATTTGATCGAAATTGCCTTTTATGCCGCCGGAGGTTTTTCTCCCAATTGTGCATGCCGAATTAGAACTTAATACAGCCTGGAGGTTTTTAAGAAGAGACTGTCTGAAATGGTACAGGTTCTCCTGCTTGAGCAGGGGGCTGGTCTAGAAGACCTCCAAGGTCCCTTCCAGCTCTATTCCTGTTCTATTCTGTTCTAAACTTGAAAACTCTGAATATTGAATTTTTTTCCCCCTTCGTAGGCTTTGCTCCAGCTTGGATATGGCGGTGCCCTGCGTGTTCCTTCTAACTGTGCTGGGAGCAGAAGTCACCAGCAAATCCTCCGACAGCTTGGTAAGTATGGCTCGTGGCTGTGGGGTCAGAATAAAAAAAAAAAAGGGATAGAAAAGAGAGAGGCTCAGATTTAGCCACTGAAACCCCTCCCTCCTTCATCTGGACACAGAAACTTTATAAGTAGCATAACCAATGAGCCGGGCTCCTTGGCTCGTGAGTTCATGGACGGCCCTGGAGTAAGTTTCAGCGCTAACAAGCCACATTAAGTTCAGCTTTTCTCTACATTGGGGTTGCTAAAAGGGAGATTCAGTCTGGGAAGCCATCAACTGTTCACCCAGGGAAGTGTCCTTAATTTGCTCCTGGTGGCTCCGGAAGACAACAGCATGGTAATCCTGATTTCCAGTGGTGATTACTGATCACGTCCAAAGGATATTAGCCTGTCGGTCGGATCAGTCTGGATTTGTGAATGAGAAGGCTGGGTTTTTTTTAAAAAACAAAACAAAAGTGGGGAGAGTTTTCTGTAGAAAGCCTCTGCCACCTCTGCGTGAATAAAAGAGGAATTTCTTTTCGGATTGTAAATTAAAGATATATACTGTAGATCAGCCAGACAACCCGGGGACCTTGTAAGATTTCCTTACTAGATTTTTTCAAGGCTTTCTACGCTGGCAGAGCATCTGACGTAACAGTCGCTCCCTGAACTGTTGGAAGTTGAGGACTTGTCTTATATTTTTTTAAGTCGTTTTTACTATCCTGGGAAAGGCGAGCATATCTCATCTCCCTGGTTTGAAATCCCAAACCCGGCGCCGCAAGCCTGGATTGAATTGTTCTTTGTGCCATTGATCAATGCTAGAGCTGGCTTTCCAGCCGTGGGCCGTACGGCGTGCTGCGACTTCAGAAAGAAGAAGAATACAGCTCAGGATCAGCCTGAAAGCCTCCGAGCGATCGGAGCTTAGTGGGAAAGACAATAAGTCTGCGAGAAAAGCTTGGCTGGAGATCCGGCGGTTGCGTTCTTGACAACTCATTTAAAAAGGCCGGGGTTTTTTTTTTGGATCGATCCCACCAATCTTGATAAAACCGCGGGCTCTGGAGGCCGGCCAGCCGCTCAAACCTCACACACAAGGCAGGCGCACCGTGTTCCCTCGTCGTACACCAAGCTGCGTGTCATTTGCGTTCTCTTCGGGCAAAGCGACGGCCTCCCCTCTGTCCCTATGGTTCATTTGGGGTTTTGTGGTGCTTCGAAGAAGGCAGTCTCACGAGGACGACTGCATTGGGGCTTGGTGTTCACACAGGGGCCAGAGATTAAAAAAACAGGGTTCCATGTGAAGGAACTTTGGAAAAATGTGTTGTTGTTTTTTTATCACGCTAGGAATCGGATGCAGAATGCTGCATGGACGCGATGGAAGCCAACAGCACCTGCCTCGCCAACACCCAGTGCACTCCAGGTAGGCAGTGACTATGGCTGGGCCTGCTGAGAAAGCAGCATTTTCACACTCAGGCTGATCTGGCTTTCTCTGTGGTCTCCTTTCCAGCGGCAAAGTGGCAGCAGGTTCTGGATGCGGCTTTTAAACCTCCCACCCATGAATTCATCGTGAACATTTTTACTCCATGAATTTGTTTTGAGCTTCCTCCCACTTTTTAAAAAATCCCTCCAGGGATCAAGGTTGAAATTAATCAAGTGATGCCCTCTTGTTAGGTTTTATTTCCGTGCAAGGCCTTCTAGCTACTTGGAAGGGGGATTCTGCCCCTTCCTCCTGCATTATTCCAAAATGGCAAGCTCCTCGGGTGTAAAGCTAAAAAAAGTAGCACCTTTCTCCTTTTTTTTTCTTCCTCTCCGCCTTAAGGCTGTAATGAAACCCATATTTGTTTGTTAGAATTTATTGGCTGCCCATCTCGCCGAAGGGCTTGGCGGTTTCATGGCATAGCGGTAAAACGGATGCTGGCAAAAGTTAACGTTTTCATTTTATGTATCTTGCAAAGGGTTAACTTGTCAAAAAAGAGAGTGGGGGGGGGGGAAGAGAACTTTCTTTGTTTTCCTTTCTTTTCTTTTTTTAAATGCTGTCAAAAATCCCTGCCAGGGCTTATTTTTCTTTCCACTTGAAGTTTCCTAAACCACAGAAAAAGGGCAATGCTGATTTTCAGCACAAGGGGAGATGAAAGAACATGGATGCTCAGTTAGTGGTGAAAGGGGAGGCATGTATTATGTATTCCTTCCTTCCTTCCTTCCTTCCTTCCTTCCTTCCTTCCTTCCTTCCCCCCTCCCTCCTCACCCTTCCTGTCCTCACACCACGCAGGCTGCTACAGGCGGTGGAACGAAGACGGCAGCAGCAGCTGCGTGAAATGTGAGAACAACAAAACCCTCCCTGCGGCTCCAGTGTACAACCTGACGGACTGTCAAAACGGTAAGTCTTTGATGGCCTTCGTCTTCTGGCTTTTTGCCCGTGGGGGGGGCAGAGTTGAGAATGCTCTCGCTGCTTTTCCCCTTCCCGTCCAGCAGAGGGCAGAAGAGAGGCATTCGAAGGTTCAGGATCCTGGGACGAAAACAGCCCAGGGTTCTAGTCCTCTTTTTTTTTTTTTTAAGACTAGAACACCCCACGGTTAAGAGCGCCTTGTCGATTGGATGTCTTTTGAAAAGCCCCTTGATCAACACCTTATCTATTTTTATTTCGTTGATTAAATTCATATACGGGCCCTGTCACTTCTAAGGCGGCTCTTTATCTCGGTTAGTCTTTCGTTGGCGTTTTTTTGATGAGCAGCTCCCGGCCTCCAGCTTTTTTCTTTTTCCTTCTGCTTTTGCGACAGAAGGAATACAAATTCCTGTCCATGCAGTGAACGCCAGCATGTAGCTTTGGGAATTGGGCTGGTTTTACCTCTATATATATATATACTCAAGCAAAATCCGAGAGGTGGAATCAGGGAAAATAAGGAATGCAAGTCTTGGAAGCATCAATGGAGCAATCCAGCCGGCTTCGGGCTGACTTTGTCCCTTCCCCAAATTTCTGCCTTCTTGTAGATGCAGCCAGGGAATTCAGTCCAGTGTCCAACATAACCACCGTAACCCCAGAGACCCTCGGCGTGGGTGAGTAACACCAAAGAGACTTTGGAAAGGGGTTTTGATTCTCAGCAAGAGAGTTTCCCGGCCATCGTTACAGGTCATCGTGAAAATGGTCCTAAGTCACTTTTTTCCGGTGTCTTTGTAACTTTGAACGGTTACTAAACGAATGGATGTAAGTCGAGGACTGCCTGTATGGAACTATTTCTAGGATCCAGCTAAGAAGTGACTGATTATTTTTATATATATATATAAAAAAGGACATTCTGGGGCAGGAATTAGGGGGTGATGGGTCAGCGAGACTCCGGCCTGTAAAGCTCTGGATTAATTTGCAAGGTTAGGAAAAGACTTTCCTGCCCTGAGCTGCTTCTTCGTTACTTTTTTTTTGGCTTTCTAGGAGGCCCAGAAGTTGCGGCTTCCCTAATTTTGGGCACCTTTGTGATCAGCCTCTTCCTCATCCTCTGCGTTGCGTCTTTCTTCTACCTCAAACGTGCCAATAAACTCCCCAGTCTCTTCTATCGAAGAAGCAAAGGTAGATTTGTCTGCCAGGGGTTGCCAGCTGTTGTAACAAAAATGATTAGGGGGCTGGAGGGTTGCGGGAATTGGGTACGTCTAGTCTAGTGGAAAGGAGGACTAAGGGAGACACGAGAGCGGTCTTCCAATGTCTAAGGGTCTGCCACAAAGAAAAGAAAATAGAATGGAATGGAATGGAATGGAATGGAATAGAATAGAATAGAATAGAATAGAATAGAATAGAATAGAATAGAATAGAATAGAATAGAATAGAATAGAATAGAAAATATGGAATGGAATAGGATAGGATAGGATAGAATAGAATAGAATAGGAATAGAAAATATGGAATGGAATGGAATAGAATAATGGAATGGAATGGAATAGAATAGGAATAGGAATAATGAATAGGAATAGGAATAGGAATAATGCATAGAATAGAAATAATAGAATAGAATAGAAATAATGAATAAGAATAGAATAGAATAGAATAGGAATAGAAATAATAGAATAGAAATAATGAATGGAATAGAATAGAATAGAATAGGAATAGGAATAATGAATAGAAATAGGAATAATGAATAGAATAGAAGTAATAGAATAGAATAGAAATAATGAATAAGAATAGAATAGAATAGAATAGAATAGAATAGAATAGAATAGAATGTGGAAAGGATAGGATAGGATAGGATAGGAATAGAAATAATGAATAGAATAGAATAGAATAGAAATAATGAATGGAATAGAATAGAAATAATGAATAGAATAGAAATAATGAGTAGAATAGAACAGAATAGAATATGAAAGGGACCTTGAAGGTCTTCTAGTCCAGCCCCCGCTCAAACAGGAGAACCTATACTGTCTCAGACAGGTGAGTGTCTAGTCTCTTCTTGAAAATCTCCAGTGATGGAACGCCCACGATTTCTAGTGGCAAGTTGTTCCACTGGTTGATTGTCCTCCCTGTCGGGAAGTTTCTCCTTAATTCCAGGTTGCTTCTCTCCTTAGTCAGTTTCCAACCACTGTTTCTCATCCTTCCCTCTGGTGCTCTGGTGAACAACCTGACCCCTTCTGCCTTGTGGCAGCCCCTCAGATACTGGAACGCTGTTAATCACCTGAAGATGTGACAAGAAACAACGGAGGGAAGCTAATCAAGGAGAGAAGCAACCTAGAAATAAAGAGCAATTTCCCGACAGAACAATTCATCAACAGAAAGACTTGGCTCCAGAAGTTGTGGGTGCTCCATCGCTGGAGGTTTTTAAGAAGAGATGGGACAGCCACTTGTCTGGAAAAGTATAAGGTCTCCTGCTTGAGCAGGGGGTTGGACTAGAAGACCTCCAGGGTCCCTTCCAATTCTATTGATTCTGTTATTTCAACCCTCGGGAAGGCGGGAATCACGAGTGGTTGAAACAATTTAAAATTTCTCTTGTTGGCCATTTAACCCAGTCAGAAAACCTCCCAGGCTGCTAAGGAAGAGATCCTTCGGTAGGGAAAGGAGCCTTTTGATGTCAGGGCGCATAATTGAAACGGGCTTCTCTGTCATTCATTTCTTTTCTCTTTTTTTATCCCTTTCTGTGTTTCCCAGGGTCCATTGTACAGTCTGCTGAATCAGTAAGTACCGATTCATTTTTGGAGCTTTAGGGATCTTGCAAAGCTTCCCAAGGCAAGAAGGCGGTTGAGGATGATGGGTGGGAAAGCTGCCACCGGTGGGAAGATCCCAGCCGGCCCCTTCTGGCTCTCCCCCTTCCTCTGATCTTGCTTTTTCAGAGGGTGGTAGGTTTCAATCTAAGAAGATGCAGCCGTGTTGTTGTTGTTTTTTAACCTGGTGGCAAATTTAAGATGTCTGGACTTCAACTCCCAGAATTCCCCAGCCAACATGGCTGGGGTGTTCTGGACGTCGAAGTCCACACATCCTCAAGTTGACATATTTGAACGACACCGGTCTTGATAATTGCAACCCCAGGGAGAAATTACAGGAGGATGAGATCACCATAAATCCTTTTTTTTTTCCCCCCCCCAACGATGGTTGGAATCGGCTATCGGTTTTCCCGGGAAACTGGAACAGGGTGGGGTGGTTTACCTTAACAAAAGGCTGACTCGGACCAAATGTCAACTCGTTTTTCTCTTTTTAGGCATCCATGTTGTCCCCACCTTCTTCAAGTAAGGATTTGTCTCTATTCGTTTCTTTTTCTCTTCTTTTGTGCAAACATGCCTTAACCCAGGTGTCCTGGATAACAAGGGTTATTTAAGCAGGAATAAATCCTCGGGTTTTATCCAGAAAAGGAAGATAGGAATCCTGCAGGGGCTTTGATATATATTGTGTCCTTCTTGTATATCGTTTCAGAAATGCAAGGGTTCCTCCCCACTTTCCTTTTTTAACCCATGTTGTGTGTGTGTGTGTGAGAGAGAGGATGAGCTAGTGTTGGAAGAGAAAGATACGGAAATCCTTTGGTCCCTAAAATGAAATTTAAACCTCTTTCGTGAGACTCGGGATAGAAACTAACAGCGTCTCTCTTTTGGACCCAGTCCGGAAACCCCGCTACGTCCGAAGGGATCGTTCGCTCGCCAGCTCCACCACCAGCACGACTCTGTCCGCCGAGACCCGGGTCAGCAACGTGTAGCCGTCGGGACTTGTACATACGAGGAAGGCAGCCATCGAGTCGCTGGGAAAGCACCTAAGAAGAGAATTGGTGGCGGGGGGCCAGCCGGCTTTCGTGCGAGGAGCGGACTTGTACCCGATCGGCAGGAAGCGGGGACTCCAACGTTTGCTTAGCCCTAGGAGACGGACGTTTCGGACGACCCTGGTTGCCAAGCCCCTTCGCTCCGGACCCTGTGATTTCTCCGGTTGGGCCAGCAGGGAACCGCCCGGAGGAAATGGCCGTGCTCCAAGGGAAACTCAAGTGCCATATTTTGGGGTGCGTTTTTGGAAACAAAACGGCACCCTCTGCTTTCCGGAGGGGTGAGGGGGTGGTTCTCTCAGACGCGGAGTAGGCTGCTTGGAAGCACATCACGTCCCTTCTTCCCGTTGCATCATTTTTCCTAGAGTTTGACCGAGGCCTTAAAGCTCAAGGCAGCCTTGCCACTTTTGAGCACTCAGATTGGTTTGATTCTCCCTTTTTATCTTTTTCGCTCCTGGGAAGGACTCAGCCAGGTTCCCCCTCTTTTTATAAAGTCCTTGCCTGCTCCCTGAGTTTTTTTGGGGGGGCGGCCACACCCCAGCTTGGACAGGCCTGGCCCGTCTTCCCTGCGACCCCACTTGGAAGCCCCGAGTTAGCTCTTCAAGGGGTCACCCCATGCTCTCCACTGGCCAGCAGTGAAAAGGGGGGGGTGCTTGGGAATACAGGTAGTCCTCAGCTTACAACAATTCATTTAGTGACCGTTCAGAGTGACAGCGGCACTGAAAAACGTGACTTAGGACTGTTTTTCACAGTTAGGACCTTTGCAGCATCCCTGTGGTCGCGTGATTTACATTCGGATGCTTGGCCACTGGTTCAGACTTATGACAGTCGCAGTGTCCTGGGGGGGGTCACGCGGTGATCCCCCTTTGCGACCTCCTGACGGGGGAAGCCGGATCCACTTAACAACCGTGTTGCTAACTTATCAACTGCAGCGATTCACTTAACAGCTAGAAAGGTGGTAAAATGGGGCAAAACTCACTTGACGAATGTCTCGTTGAGCAACAGAAATCCTGGGCTCCGTTGTCGTCATAGGTCGAGGACTGCCTGTGCTCTCTCTCTCTCTCTCTCTCTCGGCGTCTAGGTTGGTGCTCCCTAAAAGTAAAATCTGCATCCTTCAGGCAGGTCCCAAACTCGTCAGTGGGGATGACTTCGCTTGCTGAATGAGGATGGGTATCTCTGCTTTACTCAACAAGCCATCTCTCTCTCTCTCTCCCCCCCCTCCCCCTCTTTCTTGTTCTCTTTCTCTCTTTCTTTCTTGTTCTTTTTCTCTTTCTCCCTCCCTCCCTCTCTTGTTCTCTTTCTCTTTTTCTCTCCTCTTTCCTCCTTCTCTTTCTTTCTTGTTCTCTCTCTCTATCTTTCTTGTTCTCTCTCTCTGTGTCTTTCTTGTTCTCTTTCTCTCTCTCTCGCTTTCTTGTTCTCTTTCTTTCTCTCTCTCTCTCTCTCTCTCTCCCTCTCTTCCCCCCCCCACCTGCACACTGTGCAGATTCCCTAATTCAAGTCCGTCCTTATGCAAACCGAAGCGCACCAGCCCTTAACTCTCCCAAGGCAATGCAAAGCAATCCAGCGACTTCAAATTGCCCCCAAATGATTCCTCCGTCCTCTCCGGAGGGTTTCTTTGATACTTTTTTTAAAAAATTGGTGTTGATCTTGATTCAAGGGAAGTTAGCTAGGAACTTAGAGAGCTGCACCCCTTCCCGTAGGCCAAATGTTTGAGCCAGGGTGTTGTAGGAGTCACAAGCCTTCCCTCTTCCCCCCCCCAAACAAGGATGTTGTGTTCTCCTCGCCTTTGCTTTCGGTCCAGGCCTGGGTGCTTGTGGCCTTCCTGGAGTTGTCAGAATACAAATCCCATCCTTAGCACTGGTCACGCTAGCTGGGTTTACGGGAGTTAAAATCCAGAAGCCTCTGGCCAGCCACAGGTCCCCTAATCTCGTGACACATGCACCTCGCATCCCTTTTTTTTAAAAAAAAAAAGCATTTGTCATTAATGAAGTTGCATGGTTATTATTTTAGATCCTTTCCTCCCACTGGGCTCGTTAGAATCCCTGTTGTGGGGAAGGGGCTCGGGAAGAGCCTGTGGATGTCCTGAGATTCTTTTTTTTTTTTTTTTTTCCCACTCCTCATGATTGACCGAGATTCTATGCAATGAAACCACGCAATCTCCTTACACACCGAAGCCAGTCCTTTCGTCCCCGGTGGCATTCGTGGCTTTCTTTAGCTGGAGTTATTTTGGCTTCCTCTCCGGGACGCAATTTTAGCAAAAGCCCAACGCTGTCGTTTTTGTTGCCTTGTCCTGTGTGTCAACCCTCAAGGACACGTCTGGGATTCCCGACGCCGTAGCAAGGTTGGGATACGTTTCCCATTCCAAGAGTGTAGTCACCAGCCAGCTGCATCCCAGATCGAACTGTCGAGGGAAAAATAGTTTTGCTCTTTCAGCAAGAAAAAAAGGTGAATTTTTTTTGGGAAGGGAGCCATTGAAACCAAAACACTGGAATAGATAGATTAAAAAAAGAAGAAGAAGAATTCGTTCACACCGTTGTGTCAAATGCAAAATGTGTAGCTTTGTATATACCTGTTGGTTTTTTTCCCCACTCCATCCTTTCAACCTTCCCCTCTGCCTTGAATAAAAGCACACCGGATTTGACGTATTTTTAAATGTTCAAAGATGACTGGTCTGGTGCTTTACTAACGTTATGAGGCGCAATTTGGAATTACTGACGGGGGGGGGGTCGGGTCAGTTTGCCTCTGGAGACTGCCCCAAAATTTGGTCTTAACCGGCATCAATAAAAGCAGAAGATCACAGTTAATTCCATCATTATTATTTTTTTTTTAAAGGGAGGCAGTTTCCTTGCAATAAATCGTTTTCTGAGCTCAGGGCACCAAGAGGAAGGCAGTAAAACTTCCATACTACCCCCTGGCCACTAGAGGGAGTGCTTTTTTTCCGAACCTTTTGAGGACCAGCCTTTGGTGCGGTGCAGACGTAGTTATTTCTTAGCTGAAGGAAGCTGGGGGACCCCAAAGCTTGCGCCCCCTCTTTGGGATTCATTCTAGCTGGTTCTAATGACAAGAATAAATGAAGGAAGATCGCAGCCAGCCAGGATGTGAGTGGTGTGGTCTGGCAAAAAAAAAAAAAAAAAAAAATTCCCCATCTTGCTTACCTCTGGAACTCCTTGCCACAAAGCCTTGCGATGGACGCTCCCTTTAGGTGACTTTAAAAAAACAGGCTGGGAAATATTGATGGCCCAACCAGGACTCCCCAATGTTTGGTCAAAGAAGAGACTTGGACAGCCGTTTGTCTGAAACGCTATAGGATTTCCTGTCTGAGCAAGGGGTTGGACTAGATGACCTCCAAGGTCCCTTCCAACTTTATTATTATTATTCATTAGACGGGAACTTCAGTCAACTGAACATTCAATTTGACTGGCGTTGATGGTTGACACGGGTTGCTGCCAGCATCCTAGGTATCAACCAGATACATCATCATCATTATTATTATTATTATTATTTGGATCTTACTTCTTGGTTTCATTTCAAGCCAGCTGGACGCTTCCAAATGGACACTTGGCCTAGTTGGAGCTGCCCTCCCCCTTATCACAGATCATATTTTTCCCAGGTTTCAACCTAGCTTACCTGGCCTGGATATTGCAAGCAATTGAGCTGGGCATCTTTCCTACAAAAGCGTCCTGCCTGGATAATTCTGGGAGTTGTAAATCCATGTATCTCAAAAAGTTGCCCAGATTGAGAAACGGTGCCTGAACCCAACACTATCACACTGATAATGTTTCCTAGCCACGTGCGATATTGCTGGAAAACGGGGGTCTTTTTAGGACCTCTCCGTTCAAAGATGATTGTCCACGAATCCCAAAACGAAGCGGCATGGGAACAAAACGGGCACGTTTTACCCACTGGATAATCTGCGACTGTAAAAGTTCAGCCAATCTGAAGGGGAGCTGATCTTATCCTCTTTACAGCTTTTGTATTTTTGTGCGGAGTCTTCTAAAATCTCAGCAGGTATAGGAATGGAAGAATCGTCAATTCGCCAGGAAAAGCACCAGGAAGAGATGCACCTATCCTTCGCACCTGGGCCTTATTTTATACAAAAATGTCTTACAAACTGAGTGAGCTGAAGCGTCTTTCATAACCATAACAGGAACGGACAATCCCACTGGACCGAATAAACTCCAGTTCTGTATCTAGCTAGCTGAGGATAAATACTTTGACCAAAAAAAAAAAATCCCCCATCAATTATAATTTATATTATTATTTTTGTTGCTGTTATCCTGGCTTTGCTCCCAGACAGCTGTTGTTCTAAATGACTCGCCAGCAAATCTATAACAATCTAGGATTTCTCGGGGGGAAAAAACATGGAAAAATGTGGCAGGCTGGTGAATTGCCTCGGCTGAACCTTTGCTACTGGAATTGCCGCAAAGAAGGAATTACGGTGGCGGTCAGAAAGGAACGGATGTTGCTCTTGCCAAGTCATGGGGTGTGTTAAGACTTGATTTATAAACAGTTTGTGCGTCTACGCAACCAGCCACACGAATTTCCCAGCTGGGATCCTTTGCCACTGTCAAAGGAATGGAGAAGAGGAACAAATTCAGTTCTGAAAGCTGAATTAGTGGAAGAAAGTTCTGCGGTTGGCTTGACCCTCTGGTGACGCGTCTTCTGCGCAGAAATTGTAGCCTTTGCCTCGTCCTCTTCTTGCCCTAATTTAAAAAAGAATACATGTATATATATTAAGCTTTGTTTCAGCAGTTTTTGTATTTCAAGTTTTGATTAAGTGAGCAATATGGATGCTGCCATTTCCAACCTGCAGCCAGCCAGCCAGCCTTGCCCTTTCCTAAAGAGCTCCATTTCATACCCTCCATTCTCCAGTCCATCAATTCTCCAGGGCTAATGAAGTCCGCTTTTCCCCCTCTTTTTAATGTTTTGCTGATTATATAAAACAGCTTTTGCTTTCGGTTTGAGCAGGACACTTCCTTGCAGTTTGGCATACCTTCCCAGGAGTCCAGAGGGATGGTGGGGATATAAAATTAAAGGACAGAAAGAACATAAATAAGAGGCATGGTTTTGAGTTTAGCCCAGCCTGTCCTAGTTGGCTAGATTTTCACATGCAGGGATAGGTGGCATTATATATTGGCTTGACTCAACCCCTCAAATCAGGGGTTTATTTATTTATTTATGAGACTTATATACCGCTTTAAGTGCAAGCACTCTCTAAGCTAGTGGTTCTCAACCTGTGGGTCGGGACCCCATTTGGGGTCGAACGACCATTTCACGGGGGTCGCCAAACAAGTCTGTCCGCCATTTTTTTCCCTCTTTTCTTTGGCCACACCCCTGGCACCCGGTGATGTATAAGTGGTTGGGGGTCACCACAACATGGGGAACTGTATTATGGGGTCGCAGCATTAGAAAGGTTGAGAACCACTGCTCTAAGCAGTGTACACCAGTAAGCAATGTATATATATATTTGCAGTACTGCACTCTAACTGCTGCACCACCTCGGTTCTCAACCTTGGCAACTTTAAGACTTGTGGACTTCAACTCCCAGAATTCCTCAGCCAGCAAAGCTTGACTTGAAGTCCACAAGTCTTAAAGTTGCCAAGGTTGAGAACTTAAATAAACCTTGCTTTTGTCCAACATCTGTGATCTGTTTGGAGATGTCGGTCAGCTCCAGTTGGGAAAAATAATAACAATATTAATAACTACCATTATTGCAATTAAAATTAGGCACAAATAAACACGAGACAATATCAGAATGTTGTTTTAAAGGAGTGTGTGCAGGGGGGAGTGATGGACGAGAGACCACCGTAGGAAAGACAAAAGTTTTCCAATCAGTTGTCTGTTGGCTTCATCTGATTGTGGGCTAGACTGCCTCTGAAAGCTGAAGCTCTATTCTTAGTTCGCATGAATGCAAAATCTGGATGGTTGTCACATTGTTTGTTTTTCCCGAAAATGTTCAGCAGTTCAAAGAAGGCTCCACACCCATTTGCACCACTCAGATGACCCCGAGGGCACAGGTTAACCTCTAAGTGGCCTCAACGGCTCTCAGAATGAGTACCAAAGATCAGATGACTGCAAGGGATATAAATCCTTCCATCCTCCACCATTCAGTCAGAACTGAATAAGCTTCCTGGAGGAGAAGTGAAACATCTTCAAGGAAAAACAAAGGAAGTCCAGTTGCCTTTTGGAAAAAGCATCTTTGGAAATGCCACACAGAAGGTAAAAGAAAAAAGTCATCGTCTAACTAAGGAATTGCTGCTGTTGATGGATTCATTTGACCTTTGCTGCTTTTTAAATTTTTAATTCTACTTATTTATAATGAAATTTATTTGCCCGGCAGCTCATATACGACGACTGTACTTTGGCATCGCAGAGGAAAATCTAGATATTGGGGTTTTGAAAAAAAAAATTCAGCCACAGAGACAAGTGTGTAAACTGCCCAATTTTGTTTTTAATAATCTTTTCCCCCTTTTCTATTAAAATTTCATCGTCCGACGCAGGCCATCAATTACACAGTACCCTGCCTCAACCCTGTTTTCTTTTAATAATGTTACTTATTCACGATCCTTTCGCGTGCCAATATGTTGGTCTGATCTACAGTCTTATTAATGTTTCAGCATTCTCCCGGGAAGATTAACATATTACAAAAAAACTGTATTAAGGGCCGAGTTCTAATTCTCGGAAGGTGACTGGTGGATTTGCATTTTGAAGGCGAAACTTGTACTATTGGGAATTTTCTCTCCCCCCCCCTTTTCTTTTTAGAAATCAGTTTTGTATGCAACGTTGTTCCGTCAAATGCCTCTGAAAAAGGAATACGCTTTGGGAAATATCTCTTTTCACAACACGGAAATTGTTGGAAGTAAATAAATAAGCAAATATGAAGAGAGATGGGAAAAAAGGCTAGTGCACACAGGTTGCTGCCTTCCTAAAAAGATTTTGGATATGCTGAGCCTTGATTCCGATTTAAGCAGGCAGGTCTTGTTCAGCACACTAAAATAAGAGTGGAACCTCCAGTGCTAGTGGCAGTTATCCAATGAAGTGCATGGTAAAAGGACAGTGTGCCGACTTTACAGCCAGAAGGAACTTCTAATTTTTCATTGTGAGTTACACAATGACAATAAAGATTATTCTATTCTATTCTATTCTATTCTATTCTATTTCTATTCTATTCTATTCTATTCTATTTCCATTCCATATTCTATTCTATTCTATTCTATTCTATTGTAATTCTAATTCTAATTCTAATTCTATTCTCTATTCTATTCTATATTCTATTCTAATTCTAATTCTAATTCTAATTCTATTCTATTCTATTCTATTCTACAGGTTTACAGAGTCAGCATATTTGCCCCCAACAATCTGGGTCCTCATTTTACTGACCTCAGAAGGATGGAAGGCTGAGTCAGCCTTGAGCTAGTCAGGATCGAACTGCTGGCATTGGGTGGAATTTAGCTTGCCATACTGCATTCTCACCGCTGCGCCACCGGGCCTCTTAAAAGATTGTAAAATTGGGTATCTTCATTTGCTTAACAACTGCCTTACTTAGCAAAGGAAAGAGCGCTCCCAATTATGGTCATTAAGCCGAGGACTATAGGTACAATGCTTGAGCGGGATAGCAATGAAAATAATTCAGATTTAGTTTCAGCCTTGGCCCTACAACACCTCACCCAGGAAACACCAAGCTCAGAAAGAAAATAATCAGCGGTGACAAATTACACCTACCCAGTGGAAAAAATAAAAAACCTGAAAGACATCTCTGGGAAGACATGGAGGGCTGACTTGAAGGGGATTTTCACCTAAGGGTTGGGAAAACACCCGACATCCTTCCTCACGCAAGCTACTCGAAGTTTACCCAACCTTGTTTTTTGCTGGAGATAATTAGAGCATTTCACACTTGCTTTGACAGCTAGTTCTGCAACTGAACGATGCAGCGTTTACAACTTCTTCTTAATTTAATCACCGTCTCCACTCAATGGGACTAGACATCTTGCTCGCCAAGAAAGCTACAAGAAGGACATTATTTTAATAATGGGTAGGTAGATAAAGCTCCTGCCAGGAACTTGGGAAATCAGAACGCACTAAGACAGTATAAAAGGAAATCTTCTCCTCGGCCTTTTTTAAGGTTCTCTCCATCACTGAGACCGCGGAGAAAGATAAGTCTCTCAAGACAAGAGGATAACGGAGAAGCAAGATTCGGCCTCCTGCAGGAACAGGAACACAAAAAGCCAGAACAGCTGCTGATCTTTCATCGCTATTTCAAGGTAATGAGACTCCCAAGGTTTTTTAAATTCGCCATCTTTTTGGACAGGGAAGTCAAAGAAGGATAGAAAATTGACCATGAAAAGACCGGAGGGGGAAAAAAAATGGATCAGGTTTTCAGTTCCTCCTAAGAAACGGTGGGAAATTTTTAAGCAGCATCCAGCTTGTTTCAGCCAGAGAGGAATTGAGGCCACTTTGGATAGATTAAAAAAAAAAAAAACCCACAAAAACAGCACTTGCTTTTCGAATAGCGGCCTTTCTTCCTTGCTTTTAAGTATTGATGTCCCTCGTGGGGACCAGCAATTCGATCGAGGGAAATCATTAGCGCTGGATTTTTATGGCTTATTTTTTTTTAACGATTTGCAAAAAAAGGAGAAAAACAAAACAACAACAACAACAAAAAAAAACCCCTTCGTATTTCTCATTGTGGCTCCGGCTAGCTAGAAGTGGAAGATACATTTGCAAACGTGCAGGAAGCCACTGCAAAGGTAGTCTTACGACAGCTCACTTCGTGACTGTTCTAAGTTACGACGGCAGGGAAAAATGTGACTTATGACCCTTTTTCCACACTTACGACCGTTGCAGCATCCCGGTGGTCAGGTGATTGAAACTCAGGCACTTTGCAAACTGACTCGTATTTATGATGGTCAGTCGCAGTATCCCGGGGGGTCTCGCGACCCCGTTTTTGGGACCTTCTGAGAAGCAAAGTGGCGAGAAAGGTCGTAAAATGGGGCAAAGTTCTCCCAACCACTGTCTTGCTTGGCACCCAAAATTTTGGCCACAACTGCGGTCGTTAAGCTGAGGACTATCCACAAATGGGTGCTGGGTTAACTATTTACTTGGGGATCAATGATGTCAGTAGCGACGCCTGCTTTTTTTGTATACTCCCAGAGGCGGTGTTTGATTCCTAACCCGCTCTAGCCAATTTTTTTTTTATTGCTTTAGGAGCAATTTTGCCCGATCTAGATTTGGTTGGCTCTTTTCAATAAATTTCTTTTCCCTGTTGGCAGCCGGATAGAACACGATTCAGCCGCCCCAGCGAGTGTCTGTGCGTGTGCTTTTTGTCTGCCAGAAATGACCAGGTTTCCCCCCCCCTTTTTTATTTCATTTACCCGGTTTAAACTTCACCAGGAATCATTAAGGAAAGAACGCCCTTATCTCTCTTAAGCCGTGCCTCCTGGCCAAAGAACAAGCTTCCACTTTAAAGGCGGCTGTAAATCTTTCCTCCATCCAACACAATTGGCATTTGCACCCGGCAGCCAAGTATGTGGAAAGAGCTATAAACGGGTTTGTGGCTTATAAAAAGGAGGAGAAAACAAACAGCTTTCTAGGATCTGGGCCACTCCAGCAGGAAAAGAGCCCCAGAGCAAGGCAGAGACAAGAGTCAAAGGGCGTCTCCAAGGTCATCTAGTCAACCCCCCCCCTTTGAGGACCCAGGAAAAAC